AGTAATTAAACTCTTATACTCAGTAATACAAAAAAATGTTAATTAACCTCTTTGCAAAATGTTAAGGTGCTCCTAAATGTACAATAAGTCACCTTCCCTGTCTCATTGTTTTTCCCTTCACATACCACTCATGTAATTATTTCAGTGATATTGAGTTCAGTGAGAGGAGGTTTCAGAAAAGCTGCTCACCAATAATGTGCCTCGGATCCCATAATAGCAAGATGGAGAAGGTTCTTTAGTCTCCAGAATGTCACGTTGAATATCTCAGTTCTATATTTTGCCTTGACATTTGCATTATATCAGCTGATCATTGTCTTGCCCTAATTTTCCATTTTAATATTTCAGTGACCTTCTATGTTAGGTACAGGTTATTTAGAAGTGTTCCGCCAAGGCCAGATACTTCTTCCTTGACCAATTTATTTTTAACAGCTTTTAGCAAATATCTCACTTCACCACCCTCCCTATCAGTCCCCGCAATCACAATTCCTTTCTGTTAATTGGCACAGTCAAGATATAAAGTAAGAATGCCTATTTGAACATGTAGTGAGAACTTTACTTCTCTGCCAAAAATGAAGAAAAATACTTCCACTTTTGTATAGCATATGTGTTTATTTTATAGCCTCACTCATTTCTCATCATGTTTTAGTGCAGTTTTCTGAACGAACTGCTAATTTTTTCATTGATTAAACTGCTTATTTGCTCATTGGAATTAGAACCAATTTTATTCCTTGAAGGTATGACTAGAAGATTAAATGCTGTTCATATGAGAATCAATTTCTACCTAGGAATGAGTTATAGGCAGCGGTATCTATCTGGATTCTACACTGTGAAAAAGGAAGAGAGGTTATGCCTTTCTGCCCCAATGAAGTAGCAGAGACCTTAGGAACTGAGGTAGATGCCCCCATGGTTATTAGCACCACAGAATAATTTGCTCAAAAACTGAGTGCTGGCCAGGTGTCGTGGCACATGCCTATAGTCCCAGCTACCCGGGATGCTGAGGCAAGAGGATCGCTTAAGCCCAGGAATTTGAGGCTGTAGTAAACTAAGATCACACCACTGTACTCCAGCCTGGGCAACAAAGCAAGACCCTGTCTCTAAATTTATTTCAAAATTGAGTGCTTATGAACAGAAACTAATATAGGAAGCCGTAAGTGTTTCCTTGGGGTAGAATACTTTCCACCGTAATTGACTTCACATCCTTTATTTGTATGTGTGGACTTCAGCTTTAAATATTTGAAACACAGACAATTATTAGGTCCTGCAAATATGTGAGTTGAGATAACAGTGGATGTAACATTCCCTTCCAGGGTGTAAGAAAAGGCACCACAGCAGCGAGCAGCCCTAAAGCATAGCCTGGCCCAGTTTGGCAGGTCTCTGTGAGTTAGCAGCAGACTCACATGACCACACTCTGTACTGCCTTCTGTTTCTGTTTCACCCCATTAATTGTGCTAAAGAAATGCACTTGACACCTATGCTGTGTAATCTCATTTAGCCCCAATAGCTACAAAAGTGCTAACCCCATTAAAATGAAGCATTTCAAACTGAGCCAAACGTTGCACTCCAGTAAAGGCAGTAGGCATTGGTTATAATGGGAATTGTCCATTATTCATAATGGGAACAGTAGGAGTTTGTTCATGCAGATCAAATGTGTCCCACCAAGGCAAGAAATTTGGAAAAGTGTGTGTTGCTGTGTTACCTTGTAATTTCAAAGCCTTCCTGTCTGAATCCTATTTCACTGCTGTTTCCTCCTGACTCTGGTTCTTTCACAAAGGCAAATTAAGAATGCAAATATAAACATTAAGTTAAAGCACAACTGAATAAAGTGCCAAAGTTAATTGGAGCATTTGAAAATGAAACATTTGGCGGTTAACAGTGGCCTCTTGACAATACTGCACAGTAACTCTGTGTAAGCGGACCCTGTGTGAAGAGCAGCGGGCACACGGCCCCCGGCCGTGAAGTCCATCTCAAGGCGCCAGGCTCAGCAAAGCAGGATGCAAACCCAGGCCTTCCGAATACCAGGTTGGGGCTCGTGTCACTGTGCCACAGAAATTTCTGCAGAAAGGCTACTTGAAAAAAGTGGCCATTAAAAATCCAGGTGGATCCTATCTAGGGCAGTGTTGGAAACACTGATCTATGGGGGGAGGAGCAGGAAGGAACTGTTAAACCAATGAGCAGCAATGTTACATTGCTACCTGCCTTTAGCAGCTGTGGCTGATGGGCACGAGTTGCTCAGAAGAGTATTATCTAACTGTGTGGTAAGATAGAAAACTGATTTTAAAGCACTGCATTTAGAGGATGTTGAAGTTTTATTTTGCTTTATTTTGATTTTTTTTTTTTTTTTTTTTTTTTTTGGCTTGGCTTTGTTTCCTGGAGAATGCCCCACAGATTTCTGTTCATTACAAGAGAAACCTAGGGTTCCAATTCCTAATTCTTGGACACATTGCACCCTTATTTTGTGATAACCCAGCCTTCTTCCTCTAGATGGCTTTCTGCACTGAATGTTACATGTATGGAATTTTCCGAAATGAAGGTGCAAAGCTGTCTCCTCTTATTTCTTTATGGTGCCCACTTCACTGTGAGATTTCTTATCCATACAGCCCGAGTCAGTGGACATGTGTGAGGTGGGGATGAGGAAGTTAGGAATTGGATTCTCATCAACCCTCAGGATTCCCGAATCCACTAACTGTCCGTAATCAAAGAAGTGTAAACAAATACTTCACACACATGAAACTGCCAAAATTTTACATTTGAGTTGTACCAGTAAGTCCAGTTGCCATCATCTCCTTGTCACAACTGTCTTAAGTTTGTTTTGTTTTTGATAATGACTACCATTCATTCAGTACTGACTTACTTAATATTAGACACTGCATTAAATATCTTGCAAACAGTATTTCATTTGATCCTGACAACCATATGAGATAGGTACTATTCTTATCCACATACAAAAAAAAATTAATTTCATGAAGACTTTTCCCAGAGAGAGAAATATTTACACACACATCTCTCTCCCTGTAACAATTCAGCAGTCCTGATAACAGTAAATGAGCAAAATCTATGTAGGTTGCTTTAACAACAGTCCCACCTAGAGGCAGGAGAGTGAACCAGCTAGAAAATATTTGATTCATATTTCTTCCAGAAAGGCTCCTTTGGAGTTTGAACTGTTTATGTTATAATTTTCTTATCATTTTTGTGTTAGTTTTCCTGAAACTAATACAAAGTAAGAATACATTTGGTCCACTAAAAATGCCCTGAAATCGGCCAGGCACAGTGGCTGACACCTATAATCCCAGCACTTTGGGAGGCCGAGGCAGGTGGATCACTTGAGCCAGGAGTTCGACATGGTGAAACCTTGTCTCTACTAAAAATACAAGTTATCAGCGTGTGGTGACACACACCTACCTGTAATCCCAGCTATTTGGGAGGCTGAGACATGAGAATCGCTTGAACCCAGGAGGTGGAGGTTGCAGTGAGCAGAGATCACGCCACTGTACTCCTGCCTGGGTGACAGAACAAGACTCTGTTTAAAAAAAATTAACAAATAAATAACAAAATGTTCTGAAACCATTATGGGGTTAAAGCAAGAAGCAAGGCTGGTTCCCAGGATTTTCTGCTTAACCTCCAGTAGCCACAGACCTACTTCTGATCAACATCAAAATAAACACATCAATAAAGATGTGTATGGTTGTCTGACCTTACCATTTCTGTAGAATTTTATTTGAAGACAAGTTTCCTGTTTCTCCAGGCCCCATATTGTTTATACATCAAGACCCTTCCAGTAAATGCCTGCAACCACTACCATCAACTGTTTTCCCACTAATGCTTTCAATTGTAATCAGTTTTTAACTGGGCACTTAGCAATATTTTTAAATCAATCATTGTTTAGATGTCCCCATTTATAATTACTTTTGTGAAGGAATGCCTCAGGGTTTCAGCTGATCCTAAGGAATTATCCAGGAGCCATTAGTGTGTAATAATTTAGTCTTGAACCTGGATAGGTCAGTATTGGGTAGGATTTTTCTTAGCTGCATAATGAGGAGAATAAAATGAATGTGGAAATAAACTATATAACACATCCTGGGTCACAACAGAGGTAAGACTTGAACACAGGCCTGACATCAAAGCCCATGCCAGTATGACTTACAAAAGGTATACTGGACTACCCACATTTGAATCACTGGTGATGCTTATCACTGGGCCTCACCAAAGAACCTTGAAATTAGAATCCCTGGAGGGAGATACCAGACACCTGCATTGTTGTCAAATGCTCCAATGATTATCCACTGTTCAGAGCCATACAACCTCCTGATGCTGGAAGAAAATTACAGTGTTCAAAGTGCAGGGCAGGGTGTACATCTGGCTCTAATCACTGAGCAACCACAGGGTTTCAAGAGAGGGTCAAGACAAGGACTTTCTGCTTTCTGTAGCCAAGTGGACACTAAGTTTGCACTGTTCTCAGATCTTCAAAGAGACTTTGGTGTACGGAGGATGGGGTGGTGGGGAAGGACGTGTGAAATAAAAGGAGAAAGTGAATTTGATGATTTGATTGATGACAGCTGAAAAGCTCATTGCAGGGCCCAGCCTACCATTGATTAAAAAAATAGATCAGGAAGAAGATCAGAACTTGCCTCAATCCTCAACCATTTTTCTCAGGCTTCAATGGAATATTGCCATCCAGTAAGTCATTATAGCATTTTCTGTTGCATAGATGTTTAGCAGAAACTTCTTTTTAAAAAAATTTTTACCTCCTCAATGAGGATTAAATGCTTCTTCTAAGACAGTCTGAAATATATTCACAGCTGAAAATTCAGCTAACCGCATTTCCCAACTAGCCACATTCTATAGAAAACTCTAAGCCATGCAGATGAATACAGACTTGACAATAGTGCTCAAGGCTGGAAGTACTATTCATCTGAAAAGAACGCTCCCTCCAATTGGTGGGCCATTATTCCGCTAGGTTTGTGTTTGGATAATTGTAAGATGGCTATGTTTTTCTTCCCCAGTCTCAGGAGGCCCAGGTGCTGAAACAATTGGCAGAGAAGAGGGAACACGAGCGAGAAGTCCTTCAGAAGGCTTTGGAGGAGAACAACAACTTCAGCAAGATGGCGGAGGAAAAGCTGATCCTGAAAATGGAACAAATTAAGGAAAACCGTGAGGCTAATCTAGCTGCTATTATTGAACGTCTGCAGGAAAAGGTAATCGCAGCAGAATCCTGAGCAGATGGATATATTCATATGCAAGATGGATATATTCATATGCAACACAGCTGGGTGAACTCTCATATGCCTAAGCACCAGAGACTAAGTCAAAATTTGCTGCAGGTGTGAGGACAACTATCTCCCATGGGCAGGGTCTCATAGTGTAGCATTGACTTAGCAGGAGGTGCAACATGGTATAGGAATGGGAATCTAACACTAAAGCTGGAATTTTGTCAAGTTTTCCCATGGTGAGTGGATTCAGGGAGGCCGATTCATGCTTTTGAAATGTGTAACTTCTATACAAACCTCAAGAGGCAATCTATTGGAAAAATGTTACATTGGAAATATTAATATTAATATATTATATTGCTATAAAATATAAATAACTGACTGAATATTTAATTAATATGTGGCATTAAATATATATTTAATTAAAATATTAAATTAGGAAAATATATTTGCCAGGATATTTATGAACACTGGAAAACCCATTCTTTCCATGCAGAAACTCTACATGGAAAACTAGGGTATACTAACATCACATAGGACCATAGCAAAGATTAGCTCATAGAGGATGTTTTGTCCAGTTCTGGTGTCCCGATGCCCTTCTCCTCAACAACCTAAACATATACTCATTCCCATGAGTCAGGAGGCACTGCGCTGGAGGTCCTCTGAAAAACACTGTCTTTCACTTTTGCACTTTCTATGCTGTCTCCACCCAACCCCTCAAAACCCTTTCCTTTGAAAATATACACTTTAGCTGTGAGTAGTCTAGCTGTATCTATTTCCAGAAACTGGATTAAGTATTGAAAATAGAATGTTTGAGGAAGATGCCTCAATCCTTTTCTGAGCAATCAGTCACCCTTCCCCCCAGCAGTGAGTGCCTTCGTGTGATAGACATCGGAGATGCAGAGTAAAACGGACTGTGCCTGTCATCAGAGCCCTGAGAGTTTAGTCAGATGAACCTCCTGTTTTCTGACTATTTCTCAGAGTGTCATGTCTTCTATTAGAGATGGCCCATCTCATCTAGGGCTCAGACAACCTTATCCTGAAGTTCTGATGATTCTGTTTTCATTCTTAATCTCTGACTGCAACTATCTAGCTAGAAACAAACAAAAAAAAAATCAGGCATGAAATCTTTTAAAGGTATAATTGCATGGAGATTTTCAATTGTGCTCTTGAGAAATTTTAAAAGCATTGCTGGGGAAGGGTGTGTGGGCTCTGATGCAGCAGTAAGACATGGAGGCTCTCAGAGGAACACGGATGAGTACTGCTGACCTGGGCAAGAGCTGGAATAGCCACCTGATGTCTTATCCAAAACATGAAAGTTCAGATTAAATTTGTATTTATAAGATGGTGTTTTCATACTCTCAGAACAATGCCATTGCGTTTCACCCAAATGAGTCAAGTCAGGATTTGGAAGAGGCAACAGAATTTGCAGGTGATTGATGGCAGTATAGGAATACATGTTTTACTCAGAGCAAAGTTCCATTTGCTAAAGTTTACTCCCCTGATATTGAACCAGTCAGTCTTCCTCCATCTGTCCCCATTTTGCACTTCTCTAGAGGACTAAGAACGCTCCTGCTTGACCAGTGCTCATAACATGGACAGCAGAGGGACACCGTGTGTTCTCTTTGAGATCACTGTGACTCAACCTGCATCTCACATCCTAGACCCTAAAAAAATTAAGTGAAGTTGCTAACAACGGTACATGCTGATCTTATTGCAACATCCTCAATTAGGCCTTTAGCTTCCAATGCAAGATTTATATCATCGGCAGTCCCAGAGCATTTTTATTTTTCAAATTACACATACACAAACACAGGGCATATCCTCCTTTTTTGTTGTTGTTGTTGTTGTTGTTGAGACAGAGTCTCACTCTGTTGCTCAGGCTGGCGTGCTGTGGCGCAATCTCAGCTCACTGCAGCCTCTGCCTCCTAGGTTCAAGTGACTCTCATGCCTCAGTCTCCCCAGTAGCTGAAATTACAGGCATACACCACCACGCCCAGCTAATTTTTGTATTTTTAGTAGAGACAGGGTTTTGCCATGTTGGCCAAGCTGGTCTCAAACTCCTGACCTCAAGTGATCCACGTGCCTCGGCCTCCCAAAGTGTTGGGATTACAGGTGTTAGCCACCATGCCCGGCCAGGGCTTATCCTTCTTGATTTCAATTGTAAAATAGTTCATAAAATTTGCATATTTTATCTAGTATTTCCAAAAGTGCTAGCTTTTAATAGGCCATTTTTTTTCTCTGTGTTTTTTTCTCTTCACCCAGCCCAGCCATGCTCAGCTCCTTTTTGCACTCTTTCCACTCCCACCCAACTGTAGTGACTTCCCCCATACATACATACATGCATACCTGCACACCACTTTTCCTGGAAATAATCAACCTAAAGAGTGCTTAAAATTCCTGGCATCAACCCACAGAATCTCCAAGGATGGGACCCAGCATCCATATATTTTGAAAAGTCTCTGTATGATTCCAATATGCAGCCAGATTTGAGAGCTAGTGGTTTGCTGCCTATTCTGATTTAAATCTCAGCTGTCAGCATTCTATCCCATGTCAAATAATGTAGCCCAGATAATTTCTAGGACCACATTTTTTTCTGGTGTTTCATAGCTAATGAGGTGCTTTTCAAATCTAATAGGATGTTTGGCAGTGTCAGTCAAGATCTTTTATCTCCTCAATAAAGAGGAAATACCAAATTTACTTTGATGTGATGTATATCACATAGATTTAGTACAACATTGTTTATATATTGTGCATGTGTTTGTGTATACTAAAACTACTTTGCTTTTTCCTAAAATAAGACAAAGTTTTATATTGTAATCAATATTTAGCCTTTTGTTTGAATGAAGTTACTCCTATAAAATTAGAAATTTAAAAGAGGGTCAGTAATAACAGTAAAGGTGAAAGGCATGAAATTGCCAAGGCAACATAAGCTGTCCTGAAATCTACCATATAAAAAGATGATTATGCTGGGCATGGTGGCTCACACCTGTAATCCCAGCACTTTGAGAAGCCAAGGCAAGAGAATTGCTTGAAGCCAGGAGTTCGAGACCAGCCTGGGAAACAGAACGAGACCTTGTCTCAAACAAAAATTTAAGAATTAGCCAGGACTGGTGGCACAGGCCTGTAGCCCTAGCTACTCAGGAGGCTGAGGTGGAAGGATTGCTTGGGCCAAGGAGTTCGAGGCCACAGTGAGCTAATATCATGCCACTGCACTCCAACCTGGGAAACAGAGTGAGACCCTGTCTCTAAAACAAAAAGAGAAAAAAAAGATGATGATTACTGAAATGACACCTATTAATGAGTCAATCATTCAATGAATATCTATTGAGTCCCTACTATATGCTTAGGAACCTAGAAGGGGATGTAATATGAAAGGTATTTACCAACCATGTCATTTCCAATACAGGCAATGCAAAATTCAGCAATAAATAATATAGCACCAACAATTAGAGAGTAAGACAACATGTAGTATGGTCCAATATAGACAGTAAATACAAAGACACTGAATAATATCAGTAAAAATAAATTCACTACACCATGCACCCACCCTTTTGACAGCCCTCACTGCCCCTATCAACTAGGCAAGAGACATGATACAACTCTGCAAGCTTTTCCACTATCTGCCTACCAATCAGCCCTCAGTCCCTCTTCCCTTCAATTAAGAGAACTGAGCATTCAAGCATATTTTCACCATGATGCTCATAATGGTATCTTCAATGTCACTGACTGATAAATTCCCAGAAACCCCTCAGAGCCCCAGCCATGTTATCTGAAAGCCTTTAACTAAAACTGAAAGCCTAAAGCAAAAGCAGCCCTGACTGCATTTCAGAATCTACTGGACAGCTATTTAAGGGATTCTGATTTAATTGTCTGGAATAGGGCCAAGAACCTTGTATTATTTTAAAGCCTCACTAATAGGCTCTAATATTTAGTCATTGTTGAGAACCACTATGCTAAAGGTGGTTATACCTTTAGCATACTTAAGTATGCTTAAGTATACTTTGTTATGTCATTATAAATTATATTTTAGTAGTTTTTGTCTTTGTTGCATAAGTGTTCTTTCTTCCTCCAAAAAAGAACGTTACACTTACTTTTTATTTCAGTTTCCTGTTTTCATAGCACCTCATCTTAACACTCCAGGCTATTATATAGAAAAGAATCAAATGTGGAAAAGGATGTGGGAGAAGGGATGCCTCTGCCACAAAGACCTGCATTAGGCTGATCTATTTATGTCATACCCAGGACTCAAACAAGGAGTCTGTGGATTATGACTGACACACTAGTGAAGTTCAAAATGTTCTTATTCTTGGAGTGGTATGAGAAGTAGAAAGAGAGAGAAACAATGAAGGGGAGGAGAGAGGAAGAAAGGAAGAGGAGAGAAAGGAAAGTGGGGGGAACACCTGTTCTTGCCATACAGTGATAAAAGACACACTTCGTTTCTCCCCTGATGTGTCCCTTTCTCCCCTAATGCACTACACAGCATCCAGCAGAAAATCCACCACTTGACCCTTTTAGACCCAATCAGGAATTGCAGTGAGACAGTTTTGAAAAATCAGTTAAAGCAGACATAATCATTTTAACAACAATACATCTATTCACTAAACATATAACTTTAATGTCAACTATGTAAATGTAAACTTATTGACCAATCTTTGATGTAGTTGGGCCCAATACCTTTTCAAAAAATTGATAGGTTAATGGGGGTTCTGTGGGAATTTCTTTTCTTGTCATTATTCACACCTATTCACATTAGCTATGATTTACAGTTTTAATTTCTTTAAAATCGAGTAGGGACTAAAGACACCTGCAAAATAACCTGGATATGGACTTTTTTCAACTTTTCCATAGCTTTTTAGTTGATTCACCCAATATCTACTAAATATTTCACTTTCTCAAGTATTTCCAAAGGTTCTCTCCACCCTCACAATTTTCCATTAATGTAGTATTTAATTAAATTAGATAGTTAAATTTTCAAATGCAAATTGCTAAACAGTTGTGGAAATACCATTGGCTATAATCAAGCATATAACACAACCGATGAGGGGGAAAGTATGTGGCAATACTAGGGAAAACCCTTTTCCTCTCAAACAACTCAGCATTTAGGAGCCATCAGACAGCAGGACAATGGAAGGAATAGAGAGGATCAACTTGGCAAGTCACTGAATAGGACATCTACTGAACCTTGTTGAATTCCCCACTTAATCCAGATTGTTTTGTATCTTCTTTCTTTTGTAATTCTACTGTATCATCTTAGTCAATGCCAAGACTTCCGAGTTCATAACATGATAACAAATACCAAAGGAGCTTTCAGTATTGTTCAGAAAGGAGAGAAGTAAGTAACCCAGACAAACCTGACAACTGCTTTACCCTATCCAACCATGCGGTACAGTGCTTAGGAAATAAATCATTTCACTATAATTTATCATTTCACTTCTGATATCTAGAAAATATTAAATGAAAATATAGCCATTATTTTAGTGGCAATAGCAGCACATAATATGATGTAACTTAAAATGATAAAAATATTTTCAGAGAATAAGATTCTGTGATTCCTTCCCTAAAAGGTAATTTTGATAATATGTAACTCTTTTGTAAACATCAATAGTTTTGAGGGTACAGGTGGTGTTTGGTTACATGGAAAAGTTTCTTAATGGTGATTTCTGAGACTTTAGTGCACCTGATACCCAAGCAGTTTACACTGTACCCAATGTGTAGTCTTTTATCCCTCACCCCCACTCCCAACCTTCCCCTGCAAGTCTCCAAAGTCCATTATATCACTCTTATATCTTTGCATCCTCATAGCTTAACTCCCACTTATAAGTGAGAACATATGATATTTAGTGCTCCATTCCTGAGTTACTTCACTTAGAATAATGGCCTCCAGCTCCACCCAAGTTGCTGCAAGAGACACTATTTCATTCCTTCTTATGGCTGAGTAGTATTCCGCAGTGTATATATACCACATTTTATTTACCCACTTGTTGGTCAATGGACACTTTTGGTTCCATATCTTTGCAATTTCAAGTTGTGCTGCTGCTATAAGCAGGCATGACACTGTCTTTTTCATATAATGACTTCTTTCCTTTGGGTGGATACCCAGTAGAGGGATTGCTGGATCAAATAATAGTTCTGCTTTTAGTTCTTTATGTTTTTCATAGTGGTCATACTAATTTACATTCTCATCAGCAGTGTAAAACTGTTTGCTTTTCGCCACATCCATGCCAACACTTACTGTTTTTTGACTTTTTAATTATGGCCATTCTTGCAGGAATAAGATGGTATTTCATTGTGGTTTTAATTTGCATTTCCCTGATGTTGATAATATTTAACCCTTTAGTTATAATTTCAACTATTATCAATTTACGTCTATTCTTTTCATCTTTTGTTTTCTTGTCATTCTGATTCACAAATAGCATCTGTGCAACCATTTGCTATTGAACATGTCTGATGAATGAATAATGAAATAGGAAACAGAAAACTAGCCTTTATCAATTGTTTGCTATAAGCCAGGCATTTTTGGATGTACTATCACATTTCATCCAAACAACAACCCTAAAAGAAAATACTGCGATTATCCCCATTTCACATTTAAGGAACCTGGTCTTTAGGTTAAGTCATTTGGCCAGGATCACAAGTAGGCCACAGAGACTAGATTTGAATGCAAGTCTCTTTGACGCCAAACCCTTTTACTAGCTGCCCATCACCCCTGATCACTATCATCTCAATGTATGAACATGTGCTTTCTTAGCTCACACAACTCACCCTAACCCCTCTTTTATATTGCAAGTCCATAGTCATTAGTAAAAAGAAGGAATTTTGATGATATTGACTTCATCTTGAATTTAATTAGGCTCATATGACAGAATTCTATAGATGGAATTGACATCCCAGGTCATAGTAGTCCAAGCCTTGTTTATATTGGAAACCTAGTGAGATTAAAAGGACATTAAAATGTAAAGAAAGAAAATACCCCATATTTCTTACCTTCCAGAAGAGAAATCTTTCTATGAAATCAGAGGAAAGGAGTAGAGAACCAGAATTTTTCCTAAAATGAACTTTCATACATTTTTTCATATAAAAGGCATAGTTGCATACGATGCTAAAACACTGTATTACATTTCCTTTATGTTGATGGGAAGAAGGGGGTAAATTGCCGAAAACATTGTAAATTTAGATATGCTTGGGCCTCTGACAGTGCCTAGCAAATACCAGGAGCTCAATAATGAAATAAATATTATCAAAGAGTAGTCTCCTGATGAACCTTCTCTGAGTATCTCAACTGCCTTAGGAACTTCTAGACTCACAGTCTGATAATTGCAAACAGAGAGCTGATAAGAAAAACAGACTGTGCGGGAAATTATATGCTTCCTGCATGGACTTCCTTTGGTTCCTCCACAGTTTGATATAAAGTCACAATAACATTTCATGAGTAGATATTTGATCATGTGAATGTAAAGTGTTCAAATAATGGAGCGACTAAATGCCTGAAAACAAATAATTTTTATTTAGAAACTCACAATAATTCATTTTATCTTTTTCCACATTATCTCAAGCTCACAAATTCTATTTATTCTTTCCTATGGCAAAATCCATTTCGCTAACACTAATTTTGAGTTCACCAAGAAGTGTACTCCAAAGTAGCCTAATAATACTAATTATAATGTTTCCCGCTATGTTATAAATTTGAGTTTATGTGAATCCTTAGACTTGAGGGGTTTTTTTCCTAGCATAGTGATGGTCTGGGCTTTTTCTCAATTTTTGCCAGAGCTCAGCTCTCACTAATTAGTTTCTTTCTGCATGAGAAAAAGATTTTGCTTCATCTTTTTCCTCATAACAGCAGAACGAAAAGAAGAATCAGCTGCATCCATGCTAATTTCCCCTGTGACATTTCCAAACAGGATTTGATTTCTCTATGCATGCCTTTTTCCTTCCCTTCATGGTTTTTGAACATACACAAAAGCTAATTTAAATAAATTAAATAAAATTGTTTTTAATCTCTTTCTCTAGAGTCAACTTCCTGCTTACTCTAACTCTGTATCTTTGAAAAAAGTGTAGGGTGGTCTAAGCCTTTTTTCTTCCAGAACCTACACTTGAAAAGACACATTTTTTCCACACAACTATAATATGTTCTCCTCACTCAACACTGAAATTGTATAGCAGTGATTCAGAGGGTGAGCTGTAGAGCCAGGTTCCCTCGGTTTAAATCCCACTTGTTAGTGTCATGAACGTGGGCAAGTTACTCAGCCTTCCTTTGTTTCAGCTTCTTCATCTGCAAAGTGGGGACAATAATAGAATGTCCACTGTAGGATTATTGTGAGGATTACCAGAATTAATATGGGCAAAAGCTGTGCTGATGCAGGCCTGGTACATATTAAGTGCCTAATAAATATTCAGTATTATAATATAAAGAATCCTATTAGCATAGACTCCTGGAGATTAATAGAGTTTAATGATAAAATTTACTTTATAGTTGGTCAAGTTTATTTCTCCTGAACTAAAAGAAATTTTTCTTTCTTTTCTTTTTTTTTTTTTTTTTGTTGGTTTTTTTGTTGTTGTTGTTTTTGTTTCTTTGTTTTTTCACTATCCAGTAATGGCTATAAGCAACGGAACTAAAAGAATCTATAGAGCCTCAAATAATTTCTGGAGCTTCAGGGGAGGGAGAGAAGCCATATAAGCAACATTCTAAATAGAAATATAAATAATACTAATAATAATTCACACTTTAAAATTTCAGTTCAATGAACATCTATTTAGTACCTATGATATATACAAAACAATGCGATTCTGGCTATCTGATGTATAGCCATGTAATAAAAAATACTGAGGCTACATTTCCTCCATCAGTTCTCTCTTCAGGAAAGTCAGTTCACAACCCAAGGCCAGTACCTTGGTTTCTCATGTAAATAAACATCCACCAATCACATGCTGTCTGCAAAGCACTCCTCTAGGCCCTGCAAATCGAAGAAAAATGAGAAAACACAGTCCAGGCCCTGAATGAGCTTACAGTCAAATGCAACAGAGGAGACAAGAACATAGAGGCTCATAATACAAGCTAGAATAAAACAACTGCCAAATAAAAGGAAAGAGGTATGCAGGTGTTCAAATGGAAAGTGAGATAGGTTTGCAGATTAGCCTTTGCAGTCTCATAAAAATCTTTGTAAAGAAAAGGACAACAGTCACAGGGCTTAAAGAGTAAGTTTATAATCCTGACCAGTGGAGATGAAAGACGAGGATTATGAAGCATTGAAAACTGCATATGACAATTCCATTAAACTGAAACATCAAGTGTTCGTAGGAAAAGATGGGGGTTATGACTGGCAAAGTCACTTGGGTTGCAGTTACAAAAGGCCTTGACAAATAGGTCAAGAGCTTAAGAAGCAATATAGAAAGTCTTCTTCCTGGATCTAACCCTCCTGAAGTGTCCATCAGGATTACGAAGTCCTTAAAATATTAGTGAAAAGGAACGACATCGTCAGAAATGAAAGAGAAACAATAATGTGATGTTTTATTGCCTTTCTCTGGAGTTACACTGTAGTCCTAATATTCAAAATTATCTTAATAACATGAACTTTTGGTCACAGTTTTAAACAAAAACAGTGTAAAACATATTTTTTAAAACATGGTAAGTCTTGTAAGGTCTCTTCTAACATGACATTTCTTGGGGCCCATGATTTCCTCTCTGATGAAATGAGAAAAATTCCTAAAGGTAGAAAACACCAAACTGGGTTACTTCTAGTCAAGCGCATGGTACACAAAGGACCAGACAACAAGGGCCTGTGACATTTCTTCTTCCTTTTGTGTTTTTCAGGAGAGGCATGCTGCGGAGGTGCGCAGGAACAAGGAACTCCAGGTTGAACTGTCTGGCTGAAGCAAGGGAGGGTCTGGCACGCCCCACCAATAGTAAATCCCCCTGCCTATATTATAATGGATCATGCGATATCAGGATGGGGAATGTATGACATGGTTTAAAAAGAACTCATTATAAAAAAAAAAAAAAAGAATCAAAAATTTAAAAAAATCAATGCGGTCTCTTTGCAGAATGTTTTGCTTGATGTTTAAAAAATACCTTGGATCTTATTTTGTAAATACTTACATTTTTGTTAAAAAATACAAGTATTGCATTATGCAAGTTATTTCATAATCTTACATGTCCTGTAACAGGCTTTTGATGTTGTGTCTTTCCACTCAAATGAATTTGCTAGGTCTGTTCTTTTTGAAGCTCCCCATGTCTAACTCCATTCCAAAAGAAAAATGAGGTCAGTAGACAGTCTATGGTGCTAGAAACCCACCATTGCCTAATGACCTACAAGGCTTTGCTATCTCTGAGCTTGACTAAGACCATACCTAGATCACAGGTATTATGACTCCACATGAACCTTCACATTTGTTTGCTCATAATCTACTTACTGCCTAAAAGAAACTACAAAACCAGGCTAAGAAATACCACCAGTCATTGCATTTACTTCTTCTTCTCCTGGATTATGTGCTACAAATGTGCTTTGGCTTTAGAAAGGGATGGATGAGAAGGCAGATCTGAGACCAATCTGGGTAGAAGCAAAAAGCTGAACCTTTTAAAGCACTGAACACAAATCCAAATTCGAATGGTTCAAGCAGCCGTGAAATCGCTCTTCATAAAGTGGGCTTAATTCTCTAGTTTAAGTTCTTTTGATGGAATGAATTAATTAATGTGTCAGGTGGCTTATTTGTGGATGCCATGATTGATGATGTTCATTTTAAGCTCTTACCTATAGTACAAGTACATGATGCTACTGAATATTTTTCCACTTGGAAACTGTGAGCTGGTTGTTGCATTAAAACACACATACAAACAAAATCAAAAACACTGCGGACTTTCACTCAAGCTGGTCTTTCTTCCCCAGTGTGAGGCAATCCTGCCTATTAACAACAACAACAAAACACTCCATCTGTGAAGCTGACGCAGTTAAGGGGGCTAGGCAGGGCATTTGTGCCAACTAAGAATCACCAGATAACGCACCATAAGTACCTATCGCAGTTTTGAAGTCATTTCTCCCCAACTCCCAACTCCTGAAGGTTGCTGCCTGCATATTTACTCTTCATTAGTGCTATTTTCCTGTATGTCATTGTGAGCAAGCTGTGATTAATAAAGAATTGGAGTTCTGTGAACTAATAAAGGTTTGGTCTGTTCTCTTGCCACCTCGTGTGTCTGACCCTGGAGTACAGATTTTAAAAGGGCGGCCACTGAATAAGACAATCTCATAAAAAGAGATAATAATGAGGGTTTGAAGGAAACCAATGCCTTGCTGAGTCATTTCCCTTTGGGAGCAGCAGGCTGCCTCTCTCTTCTTTTGCCTTCTGATGGGCCAACACAGTGGGAGAGGTATTCAATCTGTTCCCCTTAAAAACATACAGGACTGAACAAGATACCAAAGATTCAGACTGATAACTCTGAGGAAGAGAGCCCTTTTCAAAACACTGAAGGTTCCTGGCATCATCTCAAGTTCTCCCCTGTGGCCACAGAATGTCTCCCCGAGCCCAGGCCGTCTGTTAAGATGTGATTCCCTGCCGTACTGCCGAATTTTGTACTGCCAATAAACACACGGCACACATGGACACAGCAGGGTCCTGCCAGTGACCCAGATGGATATTACAGGACCAAAGGAACCACATCCAGTTTTAGCAGAAAATCATAAATAATTGAAACCACACAGATTTATGAATAAGTACAGTGAGCCATGGTCCACAGGAGCTCTAATAAGCCAAGTTTAGGGTGCAGGCCACCGCGTCTCTATTTTGAATATCCTTTAATATTTGTGGGAATCTAACACTGCAATAGATGACATCCATGCTTGATGCGATACACATGAGCTTCCGATTAGCAAGAAATGAGCTGTCTCTTCATACTGGTTTTATATAATTTAGTTTGGAAAACCTTACCTGAATTATTCATTGGATCAGAATAAGCCCTGGAAACATGAACATGAATGACCACAAGAAGCTCACAGTCCAGTAGCTTATTTGGGCCCCAAAACAGCAAACATAATATGTTAGTCAGCCTCTGCAGCATACTGGGGGGAAATAGATCTTTTCTAAGAAGTTTCTGAAATATTAGAAATAGTTAATAAGCTTCTCATAGTACTTTGCATGAGAACTGAAATTGCTGACTAGTCCAACTGCCTAATCTCAAAGATGAAGAAGCAGGTTGGGGTGGTGGTTCATGCCTGTAATCCTAGCACCTGGGAGGCCGAGGCAGGCCAATCACTTGAAGGCAGGAGTTCGAGACCAGCCTAGGAAACATGGTGAAATGCCATTTCTACAAAAAAATACAAAAAGTAGCTAGGCATGGTTGTGAGCACCTATAGTCTCAGCTGCTTGAAAGGCTGAGATAGGAGAATCCCCACCTAAGCCTAGGGAGATCAAGGCTGCAGTGAGCTGAGATTGCACCAGTGTACTCCAGCCTGGGTGACAGAATGAGACCCTGTCTCAAAAAAAAAAAAAAGAAATGAAAAGGAAAGAAAGTGAAAAGCAGAGGAGGGCAAGGTGGGTGGTCAGCTCCAGACCACAGTGCCCACATCTCATGACTTCTCCCCTTATTTGAGGCTCCGCAGAAGAACATCTCCAAATTAGGCGTAGTGTATACTGCGTGGGTGATGGGTGTATCAAACTCTCACAAATAACCACTAAAGTACTTACTCATGTAACCAAATACCACCTGTTCCCCAAAAGCCTATGGAAATAAAAAAGCAAAAAAAAAATTTAAAAGAAAAATAAATGAAAGAGCATAATTCACAGTGGGGGAAAAAAGAACACCTCCAAGCCTTCCACACCAGTGAGGGTGGATGATGTCTAGGAAGCTTCCTTAGAGCAGGGGGCGGCAAATGTTAGTATGCTTCCGAGTTACATGAAGTGCTTGTTAAAAACAGATTGCTGAGTCCCGCTTCCAGAGCTTTGGATTCCTGAGGTCTCTGGAAGCCTGAAAATGTGTATTTCTAACGTATTCCCAGAAGATGCTAATACCGCTTGTCTGCAGCTCTCAGTTGAGATGTCCTGCTATCAACAATGCAACTGATCCAGGTGTGTACGTTCTCTGTGACTGCCACAGAGAGCATCTGTTTCAATCGGGGCATGTTCCGTTGGAGGCAGGGCATGAAAAGAAACTCATTCACTCTTATTCAAAAAAGTTCGGGGGTGGGAGGATGTAAAGGAATCCAGAAAAAAGCAAGATGAACAGCTGTGGCTTGCAGGATAACGAAACAATGGAAGCAATCGTGCGCCCAAGGGGCTGGGAGAGAGCTAAGGTGGAATCAGAGTACCAATGACTCAGCATCTTTCACACAACTTGATTTCAGTAAGGCTCAAAAATCTGAAGACGCGCCCCACCCTTTAACAGATGAACTGAGTGCTTTTTGCGAGGATTTGCCGTTCTGTGAATTGCCCAGTTTGTTAGCCTGGTTCCATTTACAGATTTGTTGGGTTTTTTTTGTTTTTTTGTTTTTTTTTTACAGAGTCTTGGCTTCTTCAGTACTGTGTTTAAATTGCATAAATGCCTTTGAAATGTTCTGTGAAAATTCACAAAGTTCCATTGGTTTGATGATTCATCCTCTTCTCCTATCTCTCCTACACCCAAAACTATATGGAACAACTGAAAGTTGACAAAGGTCCTTCTCTTTTGTAGCAAGAGTCCCACCTTTGTGCTCTTTATCAGCCTTCACAACACTTGAGAGGAGAAAACAATGGGGAAAAAAGTGCCAATAGGTGTATTCTGTCCCATCTACCCTCCTCCTACTGAAGGAGAGGATGAGAAGGGGAAGACATGACCTCTGTGGCATTAGCAGCCAAATAAGCCATCATCCCTCTGTTCTCAACCCCTGGACAAGACATCAGGCCATTTGCTGAAACTGCTAAGACCATCACAGAGCCCAGAGCCAAGCTAAGGCCCCTAAGCTCCCCAGATTACCTGAATCATCTTGGATTCCTCACTGTCCCCCACCACCCACCTCCAGTTGAATATCAAATGGTGTCAATTTGACCTCCACACTGTTCCACAGCCCTTGCTTCTTTTCTACTTCCAGAACCACCACCTAGTTTGGGTCCTGGTAGACGCTTGCAACAGCCTTCTGACAAGCCTCCTTTTCTCCAGTTCGCAGCGCCCACACATAGTCATCAAGTCTCTCCAGGACTCTACTGCCCCTCCCCTCTATCTGTAGAATGCAATCTGCCCTCCTCTACATGACACTAAAGTGTTCCACCATCTCTCTTTCCTCAAGAACGCTACTCTTGGCCAGGCACAGTGGCTCACACGTATAATTCCAGCGTTCTGAGAGGCTGAGATGGGAAAACCACTTGAGCCCAGGAGTTCAAGACTAGCCTGAGCAACACAGCAAAAACTTGTCTTTACAAAAAATTTAAAAATTAGCTGGCCAGGTGTGGTGGCTCACACCTGTAATTCCAGCATTGTGGGAGGCCAAAGCAGGTGGATCATCTGAGCTCAGGAGTTGGAGACCAACCTGACCAACATGGTGAAACCCCATGTCTATTAAATTTTTTAAAAAATTAGCTCATCATGGTGGCATGCACCTGCAGTCCCAGCTACTTGAGAGGCTGAGGCAGGAAGATTGCTTGGGCCCAGGCTGTCGAGGCTGTAGTGAGATGTGATTGTGCCATAGCACTTCAGCCTGGGCAACACAGAGGGACCCTGTCTCAAAACAAATAAAACAAACACTACTCTCGTTGAACCCCAAACTATTCACTCTGACATGCCAGTGGCTTCCACACACACACTGTACGCAGTATGGAATTATCTTCACTACAGTACAACAGGAAAGGCTAAGTCAGGCTGTCACAGAACACCCAAATCTCAGTAAATTAAAACCAGAAAGGTTTATTTCCTACTCCTGCTACATGTTCATCCTGCTCACTGTGGATTCTCCTCTATGTTATGCCTCACTCTGGAGCCAAAGGCGATGGAGCTGCCTCTATCTGGAACGTTGCTGGTCACTATGGAAGAGGGAACAAATGTGCACACGGCAAATCATGCACCGGCTCTCTTAAAGCTTCTACCCAGAAGTACACATCACATCTCATTGGCCAAAGCAAGTGACATGATCTCATTTAACTTGAATGGGCACAAAAGTGCAGTTTCATCATAAGCTCAGGAGGAAAGCCAGAAATATTTATTTGGTGAGTCATACCAATGACTGTCACCCTGCTGACCACTAAATATTCAGCTCACTCTCCTTCCTCCATGTAAAGTACACTCACCTTGTCCACAAGGTATAAAACCTCAAAGTATCATTTGATCATGGCATCAAGTTCAAGGTCAATGTCTTGGATGATGCACAGTTTCTCTCTCTCTCTCTCTCTCTCTCTCTCACACACACACACACACACACACACACACACACACACTTGGACATTGGTTCTTGTGACCTGAGAAACAAATAAATTAAGAAGTCATCTTTCCCTGAATATTCAATATGTAATGGCAAAACGGGACAGTATAATCACAACAAACATGCTCATTCTAAAGGATAAGAATGGGAGCAACACCGCATTTACTGATCATATAAATTCTGGCATTCCACTGGCCAGACATCATGAGGCCCCTCTACCTTTGAGATGGAACACATTCCTTGACTGTCTCCATTATGCTCCCAGAAAAGAGCTCCTCAGTCCAACGTTCTTCATGGCTCTTGGCTGTTCCCTAAGCAAATCTTCCTATTTCTTTATTCTCCTTGGTCATATATACAAGGACATTGAGAAATATGGCTCCTTGGAATCTGAATCTCCTTGGAAGCAGATTTCTTGGCCTGCTTGCTGCCCACCAGACTTGGCGACGTGAAAGTCATTAGGTTTTTCACTGATCACCATGTTGGGTCAGATCCTAGCAGGAAACAAAAGGCATAGTACAAAAGAGTAAATGAAAAGGATTTTATGCCAATTATATTAAAAGGGTGTGTTTTAGTACATTTTGTGTTGCTATAAAGGAATATTTGAGACTGAGTGACTTCTGAAAAAAAGAAATGTATTTGGCACAGAATTCTTCAGGCTATACAAGCATGGTACCAGCATCTGCTCAGTTTGTGATGGGGCCTCAGGAAGCTTTCACTCACGGCAGAAGGCAAAGGGGGAGCAGGCTTGTTACATGGTGAGAGAAAGAGCAAGAGAGAGCTGC